GCTGCTGCTGTTGCCCAAACTCCATGAAGGCAGATTTGGAGGAGTCCTGCGCTTCCAACCCGTCAGCCATCGTAGTCATGGTCATCATCAAAGTTTGGGAGTGAGAGAGCGGCTCCCTCAGGCTCACCCCCCTCTCGCTCCCTCTCTCACCAGCCACCTTAGAGCCTATTATCCTGCACGGGGAATTAGTGAGGTGGCTCCTTTTTTTTTTCTCCCCTTTCTTTCTTTCTTTCTTTCTTTCTTTCTCTCTCTCTCTTTTTTTTTTCCAGAGCACTAGTGAGAGGGGCCTTGTTCACTGAGGGAGGGGAGAAGGGGAGGGGTGTGTGGGGGGGACTATTCCTGAGGGGGGTTTTCTCTCCTCTTCCCCTTCATTCCCAACTTGTTTTTTTGGCTGGCGGAGTTTAAGGCAGAGATTTTAAGGTGGATTCTGGTAAAGTTGAGCTTCTGCTTTTAGACTTGAGGCAGAGACGCCACAAGTCGAATGGTTTGTCTCCAAAGGGCAGCGCCTCCCCATTGGTCAGTCAACCCCTGACGTCACCACCCCGGAGCTTCTACTGGCGTCTGTGAGAGCTCGAGCTTAGCCCACCTTCGGCAACTCGAATCCCAGCGAGAGCCGCGCGCGCCCTGCCCGCTTGTGTGTGTGTGTGTGTGTGTGTGTGTGTGTGTGTGCGAGCGCGCGCGCGTGTGTATGTGTGTGTGTCTTGTGCGCGCGCGCCTGGTGCTGCAGCACAGCTCTGCTCTCGGAAGCCTCCTCACCAGACAGCAGCACCCTCTTGCAAACACAAGGCATCCTCACAATGAGCTTCTTCCCAACCATAGATGAAGCAAAAAAAAAAAAACCAACATGCATTTTTATTTTTTGCACGCTGTCACTTTCTGGAGGGCTGGGGCATTTGTGCCTGTGTCATGTGCATTTGAAGCCAATGCATCCAATCCACCCAAGTGCAGCAGCCCATCTACTGAAGGTGTGCTGTAGTGGATCCGTGTGCCTCACACCCCAGAGTTTCCCCTTTACTACATTTCCAAGCACGCAGTAAATACACGTAGGTTGAAAGGGATTCTGAAAGCGAAAAAAACCCCCAGAAAACGGTGCCAGCCTGTCTCCTTGCTGAAAAAAAAAGACAATATTTTCTATATTTTAGAAAGGGCAGGAGCCTCTTCAGAGAGCGAATCCTTGGAGATCTGACAGTAATGCATTTTTTCCTATTGAAAACAGAAGCTACTGTAATGCTTTCAAATATATGCAAATGACACATGCGGTTAGTGGTTTGGCAAATCTTGATTACAATATAAACTACCCAAGTAAAAGTGCCTTCGTCCTAAATTTGTCTTTAGATTACAATTCCAGTTGATTTTATTTTATTGTCAACATTGTTAATGATAAAAATAGAGTCGTTTTACAGTTATTTTTACTTTCTGGAAGGAGGCAATTAGACTTCTAATCAGGAATACACAAAAATCTCCCATGATTAACTGCAGTACTTTGTTCAAATTGCTGCTATAAAATTCAGAACAATTTGCCTGTAATGATTATGGACTGGGTTTATTTTGGGAGGTGGAATAAAAGTGGATATAGCATAAATTATCCTCTAATTATACACCAGTGTCGCCTCAATTATCCTCTTATCAAAATGGTTGTCTAACTGCCGCATTTAGTTTCAATTCTCTCCTTTTTTCTATAAAAAGAACTTCATACCTTGTTATTATTAATCCATTTATTATTTGCAAGGGGATTTATATCTGAGCATCCAGGTGGTATTACCACTTCTCGTTCAAAGATGGACTAGAGGAAAGACATTTCGGTCTGAACCAGCACCGTTGTGGATCTATCCTTTCCTTCCCAGTCCCCTTGTTTAAAGCTCCTTGCGTCCGACTAAGGTGGTGGGGGGAAGCCGCAGCTCCAGAGCCCGGCCGGGAGGATGCAGGTAGGAGCAAGGCGAGAGCCATCCCCGGAGGAAGCCACAAGCCTTCGGGCTCTGTCGGGGCCAGTCGGCGTCCTGCCGCGGGCTGGGGAAGCGGCCCCCGCACAGGACGGGGTCGCACCCTTTGCGGGGCGCTCGGAGACGCCGCGGCGGGTGGACTGGGGGGGGTCCCGGCCCGGCAGAGGCGGCGGGGCCAGGCCGGGCTGTGCCCGTTTGCACAGCACTCCGCAGCCCCTGGGCACTTGCTGTCCCCTGCATGGGGGCATCTGGACAGGGGCTGTCTTTTTTGTTTTCCGGGGGAGCAGGGATCCATTCCCTCCCCGGTTAACTGGTTAACTTCTCGAGCCGCTTGAGTCAGTTCAGTGACTCTGAATGCAACTGCCGAGAGCACGCCAAAGGGTAACCCGAGCCAGGCGTTTACACACCGGCCCTGAACAAACCCGCTCCTGGTAACACCGGAGAGGGGGGAAGGCACGGGGCCCGCTCTGCCGGGGGCAGGGGACGTCCTGCACGGGGGCAGGCGCCCTTGGCAGCTCCCCCCCGCACCGAACTGGGCGCTGGCGCTCCCGGGCAGGTGCACATGTGTGCTCCCCTCTGCGGGGCCGGCCCGGGAAGGTGCCCGCAGCGCCCGGCGGCAGCGCCCGCGGGTTTCAAGGAGAAGCTGGAGGCCGCGCTGGAGAGAGCGAGAGACACCGGTTCAGGGAGCGGGGAGGGGAGAGGACAGGGAGAGGGGACAGGGACAGCTGTCCGGCTGGACACAGCGCGGGCTCCCGCGTGGCGGCTGCATTCAAGAGCGCGGTGTGTGTCCACGCGGCAGGTCACTGCAGCTAGAGGGATAGAAACAGGCTGGCCTGGGCGGTATGTGCCTCTATGGACACCCGAAGTGCCTTTTAGAATTCATTTTATCTATCTATCTATCTATCTATCTATCTATCTATCTACACATACACGCACCTACGTATGGGCACAATCCAGCATGACCACCTTCAGAATAAGGAAGTCTGTATACGTAAGTATATAAAATTAACAAAGCGTCCCTGTATAAACAGTTGTTCAAGGGATACATACATGCATACATACACTTCTAGATATCTCTATCTATATGTAGATATATAGGTATAGATACACATACATATCATGTATCCTTTGGCATGTAATATATCTCTTGCTATATATCGAGACGTTATGTGTGTAACTAACTATTCAAGGAGATACGCACAAATACACACATATAGACATAAATATTTATCTACAGAGAGAGGCAGAAATATTTATCTACACATATATATAAATAAATATATTTCTTTCTCTATATGTCGATATATATGTATGGCTATATGTCTATGCCTAACATCTATCTATCTATCTATCTATCTATCTTTTGATCAATGATATGTATATATCCCTTGAACAACTACACATCTCTTGAACAATTCTCTACACATGCCTCCTCTTTTATTTATTTGTTAATTATGACACGTACTTATTATGTGTGTGTGTGTGTATGTGTGTGTGTTCACGCACACCTGCATGTATATGCCTAATGCTCCCCGGAGCAGTTTTCAAGCGAAGGATTGCCATTTTCTATAGGACAGTTAACTACCTCAAGTCTTATACTAGTAATTTCCCCAATTTAATTAGGCAAATCTATCAGTGTGGAGCTGGCGCTTTCTTGTGTTGATTGGCTGATGTTAATGACTCTTGACTAAAAGAAGCGAGGTTGGTTGTAAATATTTATTGTTTTCATTTTGTCCTCCAGGTCGAAGGGACCACACCTTTGGGGAGTGGAAAAGGCTGAGGGGGCTGTGTTGATATCACACAAAGGAGGTGGTGGAGGGGGTTGTTGCGTCTCTCCTCTGCTGAACTGTGGTTTCATAGCCGGGAGCAGGGCTATGCCGAGCTGGGCCTATTGTCCCTGCGGCCCCAGATGCTCCAGGGTGTCCTCTCCCCCGCCGAGAAAGGAGGGTGAGACTGGCTCAGGAGGGGACCTCTACTAGGCTTTGATTATTCCAAACAAGTGGGGGGGGGGGGGCCAGTTTTGGGGGGATTGGATGAGGAGATTGGAAGCCGAAGCCTTCACCGGAAGGGGTGGCAGGTGTAGAGAAATATTTATTGTCTGAAAGGCAGAATTTGAGGCCTAAGATATTTTTGGGGAAGAGTATGTGTATGGAGAAAGAAAGAAAGAAAGACAATCTTGGAGTCTAAGAACTGCTCAGAGACAGAGATTAGTGGCAGAGAGCTGTTAAGAATATCTATCTATCTATCTATCTGTTCTTGTGTGCGTATTTTCCCTCCAGCGTGTTTTATTAAGCATTAGTTAAGCAGGGCACGGGTTGGTTGCCAAGTTGGTTTCAGTTACCAGGTTATTTCTAAAGAAATTAGACCTGTATAAATAGGCTTTGAGTTCAGAGAAATAACCCTGTGTTCATTTCCATGGTCACTAAAAACTCATAGTGTGGGCAGGAGCACGTTTCTTTCCACTCAGGATTTAAAATATTAAAAAGATATACACATCAGGAAGCAAATGATGAATCCGCCGGAGGAAAAAAGGCAAAGGCGACTGTGGATTCCTTTGTAGGGGGTCTGGCGTTGGCAGCACGGGCTAGGAGCGGGGTCCGTGTGGCCAGGGAAAGCAAAACGCTCGAGACTTCCACGTTACCCAGTAGATGCCAACTGGTTGTCCAGGCTTTGGACTGAAGCTATAAAACCAGCATGAGCTATAGTCATCTTGCAGCAAATCTTCCCCACGATGAAAAGCAGCAGTTACTCATTAATATTCTCTTTATTAACTGTTTGCTTTTTCTATATGTCTTTGATAGCCAAATTCGGGCTCCCGAACAGAGATGTTAGAAGGGCCAGGGCGTGAACATATCGTTTCACGGCCACAAATCCCGACCTGGCCATCTCGAGGCTGAGCCAGACCCTAGTTCAATCGCAGGCCGAAGGTGCTTTCCTTGCATCTTCTGTATACACAATGACTAGAAAAATAGACTGCATCAGGCGGATCCGAGGCCGAGCCTTGCAAGCTCATGTTTTCAAACAGCCCCTCTGGATGGCATTTCATCCTCTAAAACCAGACAACAATTAATCCAAGAGAAACGGGCGAGATTCAGTCCTCCCTACCCCTATACACACACGCGCGCATAGAAGTACACTTACACACCACGTGGACCTCTACTGATATTTCTTTAAACGAAAGCTTGCGATGCTAAAATACTAACTACAACCCTCTCTCTGTACGTGCTTGTGCGCACTGTGAGTGACTG